CCGGGCCTTATGGAAAAACCCAGCCAGGGTGATTTTTCATTGCGCAGTGGCTACCTCCTAAGATTATCAGGGGCATAAAAGAAAATCAAATCAATATCCAATTCAGTGTCCTTTAAGAAATGTTGTAGAGGCTTGAGAGGAATGTAATGTTTAATAACATAGAGCAAGAAGCTCCTCAAAACCCCCTTTTGAGGACAGGCATTCTCTCACTGCTGCTGCATTTCTTTGTCCGGAGGGTTAGCCCTGGGGCAGCTTTGCTGGGGACTCTCTCACTGCCCCGGCCCCCCGCCCCCTTCAGTCTTGGTTTTTCAAGCCTCTGGGTCTGCCTTCTGCATCTCAGCTCAGCTGTGCTGCACTACCACTGGCTTTGGGATGTTTCTACAATTCTTTCCCCTCAAACATGACTGGACAAAGACAAGAAACATTGTTCAGTTGGTATTTTCCTCCTTCCCTGCTGAATTCCGTTTCCCCAGAGTAGAACTCACCCCAGGAAGGTCCTTCTGGCACCCCAGGAGCCAGTTAGTGGACATTAGTCAGGAGGGGAAACAGGGCTGATCCGAGTGCTCTCATTGAGGCGACTACGCCCTATCGCAACTAGAAATTTCTAACAAAGGATGAATAATGAGGGACCTTAGTTGATAGGTCCAGATCCTAGTCAGCAAGACAATGGGGGTAGGCGTGGTCCAGCAGCACGGTGCCCGAGCCAGGGATAGAAAACTGCTCCCAATGCAAGGGAGAGGGATTTAATTTGCTCCCACTAAGGCCCACATACTGGCGGGTGACCTCTTTTGCTTCTTTGGCTCTGTATCTTTTTAATTATCTGTAGGGAAGGATCTGGCCTGGAGGCACTGGTCTCCTCCGGCTTTCTAGTGACATTATCTAAGTCTCTGTTCCACTTGAATCATTCCACACTCTCTGCAGCGGCTGCACCATCTTGTCTTACAAGAACGGGTTCTTTGCTCTCTTGCCTTTGCAGATGCCCACCTCAGCTCCTTATTAATAGACAAACTAAAGTCTATGCTCATTACTTCTGTGCAGTTTAAAGTGACTGGAATTTAGTTCAGCGGGATTCTTCCACCACCCAAGACTCTCCGTCCTTATTAGTGAGCTAAGTGAGTCTTGATGTCTATACTCAACAATTCAGAACTTAATCTTTGAATCAGTATGAGGCGGTAGGCTGGTTTTCAAGGGGTAATAAATATTACCTTAAATTGAATTATGACCGAGATATGTAGTTTATACACCTTCTGTATTATAGCATTATTCTTTAAAGGAGAATTTTATGGGACTCTAAGACTATCAGTATCTCCTTCAAGTAGGTAATCTTGTACATGAGTATTTTCTTTTGTAGAAATGAATATGCAATTTGGATTCTCCCAAGTAATACTGTATTCAGACTTGATGTGAAACTAACCAAAACAGAGAAAAATAAATAAAATATTTAATAAAAAATTTCTGGTATGCATAAGCAAATCAGAGTTAGTAATAAAAGAGGTAACTTTATTTTAATGGTAAACTTTCATGCTAACTTAATGGTATAATGGGAATGTAATATAAACTCATTTTCATATAAAATCTTTGTTTCCATTTAATTAACATATTAATACATAAAGAAGATGTGTCTTTTTCAGTGCCCACCCCATGGTTGCCCTATTTTGCGTTATTCTCTGTTTTGTGTGAAAGCTCTGACCTAAATACAAAAGTCGGTCTTTACAGGACTCAGAAGAGTGCTTACGGACTATCAGTTCTGTTGCTAAGAAACTTCTAAAGCGTCAGTGGTGTGATCAAGGGAGTATGTGTAAAAAGAAGAGTGCTGAGACAAACAGCCTCCTTACAGAGTCTATCAGTCTCACTTCAGATAACCCCTGGCCACAAAAGTGTCCACAGGGTTTACTCCCTTTGGTTGTCAGGTACAGTCTGAGAACATCTCCTGATCACAAGCAAGTTGCCTGAGACAACTGAACGACAGCAATGTGTTGTCACAGATTTTTGCATTGTAAGTGTTAGGTTTATCCCACTAACGAGGTTCTCGGTGTGGGGCATATGTGATAACTAAAACACTTTCTTCTTGACACAATCTTGCAGAGTTATTTTAGTGGTATTAGCCAAACTATAAAAAACTATATGGCAAAACCAAAATACAACATAGACAAGAAAACCGTACTATGGCTTAAAGGAAATTAAACCTATTTCAATGAGTAAACATTAGCTTTTCTTTTAAAAATAACCTTCAAATGAAAAACAGTTGTGAAATGTGTACTGAACAATGGCTAATACAATTAGGCTTATGGTCTATGCTGATCTGCTAGTAAGATGTTTCAATAATATTGTATTTGTGATAAAATGGTGAATTATGGATGAAGAACTTTATTGCCTATTTTAAATTTGGGAGATGAGAGGGAAATGATTACATGAGACCTTTCACTGGGGACTCAGTGGTGAGATGGGCTGAAATAAGGCCTCTGGTTTTAAAAGTTTAAATAAAACTTATTAATCCTTTATTATTATTTTTCTAGAAGAGAAAGAATATATTGGCTTTGAGAAGTAACCTTAGATTGCATGGAATATGAAATTAATTTTAGGTTTCAAATATTGGCAATAAATGTTAATTTAACATTAAAAGATTTCTTGAAAAATGATGAACTACTAAATATTTGTAATAAAGGTTTGTTGGTGATTCACGATCGAAAAATGCAGGTAAGTCAGGCTGCCTGGGCTTATTTCCCCCCACCCCTACTCTGTACTCATAAATTTAAGGAATTATGACAGGAACGGCAAAGGAGTGATAGATGAAACTCTTGGAAAATCCATTAACAACACAGATTTGTGACCTGGCTTAATTACATTCAGTCTAGTGGCAATTTTGGTTTCTGTTTTCTTACTAAACAAGTTATGAGGTTTTGTGCATTTCTGAAGCCTTCTTTCCCCTACATCAACTTGCAGATTCAGAACGGTATTTGTATGTGTGCTTTCTGGGTATGGATTAGCCTCTTAAAGTACATAATTCCAATAATTATCAGTGACAGAAGGGATGAATAAATTATGCTCTAAGCACAACAAAATTAACAGTAAAAAAACGGTTTGCATAAGTTTTTCTTAATGCATGCGCCTATATTAAATTTAATATTCCATACAACTTATCCTGAAAGACTCCCAATGAGTGATTAATCCTGAACTATACCACTGCCTGCTTTGGGACAAAGAATAAAATAGAATTTAAATGCTGCAGATGTCACGATGTTTTGAAAAGCTTCTTTAATTTAAGCACAGAGTTATGATGTGAATTGCAAATTCTAACAGCCTGGATGAGTGAAATATCAATGCCATGTTCATTCTTTACACCAGAATGCAAAGATTAAGCTTCAGGTCTTGTTCACAAAATTAAAGCCAAAACCATCATTCCCTCTCCTTGCTGAGAGCTTAGTGTTGAGGCTAGTAAGTGATGAGGGTCTGTTTTCTTTAAACAAAGAATATCATGAAGAGAGTCATTTGAAATACAGACAAAGGGTAAAAATGTCCCACCTGACTCTTCTTTTGAAGGCTGGCAAGTGCCTGAAGACCACAGCAAGCACTTAATGCATCCGGGCTTCGATTTACCGCAGTATAGGCCATCAAAAGAAGTTTCCATTCTTTACCGTATTTGACAGAAAGGAATACATTGCTGATTTTTTTAAAAGTTACTTTGTATATTGTAATATACTTTGAGGGCAAGTTTACTTGGCTTTCATTTTGATCTGGATGTAGTAATTATCAAACGTGTACAAAACTTGCAAGGAAGTTGAAATGATAGACTCAAGCTATTTTGTTCTCTTCAGTATTATCCTTTATACTCTTCAAAGTACTGGGTGTGAGTTCTGTGCGATGGTATTCCTAAGCAGCGAACAACAGCTGGAGAGGAAAGGAGGAATTTTGTATCCCATAAGCTCTTCCAATGGATATAACCAAACGATCACTAAGGTGCTATTTATCTGAACACAGGCCCGAGCACTTAGTAAAACCTCCCAAGCCACATTTACCCCTGAGTGTGACCATCTCCTACATACATATTTATCCTGAGAGGCAACTATATACAGAACACGGGGTAAGTTCCCTGGATGCAACTAACATGCAGCTCAACAGACTCCTCCTCTTAACTCTGTGTTCCATCTTATTCACATGACGCGTCTCCAGAATGGTGCTCGCACACGGGTCGGGTAAGATAAGGTTATCCTAAGATAAGGATACACTCCTGGCAGCAGTGTAAGGGTAAATGAAGGGGGAAAGTGGAAACAGGAGGGATGCCCCTCTATCTTCTTCTATAACGTTCACTTGACTTCTTTACCGTTTACTACTGCTTAATGGTAGTGTGTGTGTGTGTGTGTGTGTGTGTGTGTGTGTGTAGGCACATGTGTGTGTGTGTAGGCACATGTGCATGTGTGTACATACATCCGTGTGTTTATGAACTAGAATCATGAAATTCTTTCGGCTCTGGAAACCGACACAAATAAAGGGAATTAAATACCAGGATGCCTCCTCTGAGGTGAAAGTAACTTAACCAAAAGTAGGCTGTTATTTCTGTGGATGTGTGCTTTATAGTTTCACTAATTTTTTTTTTTTTTTTTTGCTGCCATTAGGCTTTAACTATGAACTTCTGAAAACATTTCTTAGAACTTTTCCTGTGAATTCAGACCATAAAATAAAAGGTTTGTGAGTATGTAAAAAAAAATCTAAAAAGAAAGCAGATTTTATATTCTCCTCTTTATCTAGCTGTTCCTTTCTCCAGACCCCTCTCCCACACACACAGCTCTCAAAAACACCTCTGGGACAGCTCTCAAAAACATCTTTTTAAGAGCTGCTGTTGCAACCCTAAGAGCGTGCTCTTTGAGGACATTCCATGCGTTACTGTCCGACGCCCAGACCAAGGAGCAGGGAAACAACTAGCTTCCTAATAATACAGGAGTGTGATGCTTCTCACACTGTACTTTTTTCTGGCAAGAAGGAAGAGAAAAACCCTAAGAGGTTCAATTAGCTCCCAACAGAAAATGATATTGACAAACAGAATCTTGCCTTGGCAGAGCAAAAAGCCACTTTTGGTTGGAATGTGTCTTACAGACAATGGCATTACCAGTGTTGCTCTAGCACCCATGGAGTCAGTCTGTGGCACAGGACAGCAGCCTGGGAACTGTGCCTGAAGTAGAAAACCTTTGAGAAACATCAGTGGTCCTGGTGTGAAAAAGATCTGATCTTCCCTCCCACTGAGAGGCTGTGCTTTTCTATTTACAATGGCCAGAAATGGCAGGATTGCTGTGGTGAGCTAATAAAGCCCTTGGTAAGAGTGTCTGTTTCTGGAATACATTGGCCTTTGCCTTTTTTTTTTTTCTGTCAGTGGCACATACTTAAAAAAAACAGTTAATAACAAAAATCACCTTAGAAGACTGTTGTAGGTAATGCGGTATAAACTCATTGTTAATGAGAACAGTGTCACTCTGTTGGAGGACCAGGTCCTAGAAGCTGTTTGCACTGTTCCATCACTGTGTGATTTTCCTCTTGATGACAGTGAGTTCTTTCTGAAGTTCACTGAACTTGGGGCGGTTTTCAGGTTTATAATCCCAGCACTTCGTCATGATTTTGAAAATGTCCTCTGGGCAGTGCTGAGGGGCTGACATTCGGTATCCTAGAGACCCAAGAAGAACAGAACAGAGTTTAGAATGGAGAGAAGATAGGAATATTCACACACGGCATTATGCAGTGTGTAATCTTAGTACATTATGTTGCAGGTATAATAGAAACCCCCCAAAACCCATTTCAGGACAAACTGACTTCTGTTTTCTGCAAGTGATGTAGAATTCAGTATTACAGAGGCATCGAATTACCTTCTAGCTTCAATAGCTTATTTTCCATTTGGTTATTTGTCAGAGGCTGAGGTAAGATAAATCACATACACATGCATATTTTAGTTCTAAGTATTTACTTTTGCTTTTAGAATTTGCTTTTAGATGCTGTGGGCAGAGATTTTTTTTTTTTTTAAATCATCAATACAACCCAGGTTTTTGAAGATGAAGAGAAGATAAGGATTTTAACAAACGCTAAAAGTGAAATAAAAATGAGTAGGAGCTCTGTTCCCTGACAGCCCACGAAGAATTGTGAATTCAGAGCTGTCCGGTGGTGTGCTCGGCAGCACGGACGTGCCTGTGCATGTTCACACAGGAAGTAAGATGGCGGTGAGAGGAAAGAAGGGGGCTGCGAGTCTTCCTCCTGCACCTGGTTCGACAGCCAGCCTCCTGGAGAGGGGCCTCCCGTGAGGGCATTACTGGGTCAGAAGCATTCTCTCTGGTGAGAGCTGTAGACCACACTAGAGCATGCCAGCCGGCCCCCAGCACCGACTTGTTCCTGTTTCTGATCTGGGAACAGCTTATGGTTTCTTCAGAAATGTTAAGACAATTTTCAAAAACATCTCTCTGAAGTCCAACTACATTTCAATTTAGAATACTATTAGTGGTGTTCATCTGGCATAGAATAAAAAATAGGAGTTGGAGGAACACTACTCTCTTTGGCTTGAAGATAGTGCATGGCACAACCTTGCAGATGTCATGCCAGGCAGGGGGAATGCAAGGAAAGCCTATAGCTCTGTTTTTAAACTCTTGGAGTCTTTAAAAGTTTCTTTTGCTGTGGTTGGTTTTGTCATAGAAGAGCCACACCGTCCATGGGAGGCAAAAGCACAAAAGTGGCATGTCCCCTCCTCCCGCTAGGACATCCATAGACACAGCACTAGCACCGTCCCTGAGAGCTGGATGCGAACATTGCTACCCCCGTCTTTGGCTCACCTCTTTCCACTTGCTCCCGGGCTTGTTGATTTGTCATTCCAGGGTATGGACAGACCCCCAAGCTGAATGTCTCCCAGAGGAGGATGCCAAAGCTCCACACATCACTCTCAGAACTGTATCTCCCTGGAGGGAAACAAAACCATAACAGGTAAGTGTGTAAGTAGGGGACCATTTCTGGTTAAACATGCCTTTGACAGTTACATGTCAGCATATTTAAATTTACCAGTGGAATGCAATAACTAGTGATCTTATTTCTTCACTAGTTTTACTTTCCAGGACTAGTAATATTACCAATTAAATGAATAGTCATCAGGCTGCTGGTTTAACAAAAGCAATTTTCAAAATGACTTTTCCCCCACCAAAAAAACAAATATTCAGCCAGCATGCAAGCTTACTTTCCCTGTAGTATCTAAATGAGATGGATGGTTTATATTAAAAAAAAAAAAGATACAAATTTGTACACATCAATGCCTAGGAGATTAAATAAGTTGGATTTCTGCAATTTTGTGTTCTGCCTCCATCATTTTCTTTCTGTTAAAATTACAAACAAACTTAAAGCAATAATGAAAGTTTCTTGTCTTCAAGTTTTTACTTGTCACTGTTTACAGATATTCCTACATCCTTAAAGGTCTAATTTTTCTCCATTCTTTCATTTATAGAAAATATACTTTCTTCTGCGTATATTTTGAATACGGTAGAATTAACATAACTGGCTGATAAGAACAGCTTCTTTAAATTACATGGTGCCTCGTTTTGTCCAGCTATCTTGGTGCAGCTGTTTTACTGAGCTACATCTACATGAGCTAAGTTCTTTGGATTTTTTTTTTTTTTTTTTTCCGGTAGTCTTCAAGAGAAGCACAGACATAAAAACACAAGATACCTTCTGGAGATGGATATGAAACCAAGGAGGGAAATGGAAAAATCCTTTCCATCCTCTAAGACGCAAAGAATTTAAAGACTTTCATAACATATTTTAATTTTAATTTTATATATAGAGCATATACCATTATAACTAAACCCCATTTGTAGTGGTGTAAAAACGGTTCTTAAATGATTTCATTTCTATCCCCGTTGTAAAGCTCCCCACCTCAACTCTGCTACTGTAGGATTATAAACACCCCTCGGGTAAAAACATCTTGTTACTTTAAAGTAAGATGGCTTTTTCTCTCTCTTGAACAAAGTAAAATGAGAATGAGAGTGTGCCTGCGCTTTGATAACTGCTGTGACGTCAGAGTCTAGAGTGTAGTTGCTGATTATTCCCTCCAGCTGTGTGAATTAGCTTGCTTCTTACTAGACAGTAATTACGGAAATTCACTATGCTGTTTGGTGGCGAGATTAGTTTTCTTGTCTGCATATCAACCCTTTTCATGTTTGCCATCCAATAATTTAATACTTTGCATGGAAGTCATTCAATGACTATAAGTTACGATTAATTCTTGAAGAAAGGTGTACAGAGCCAAATTTTGTTTTTGTAAGATGATATCAGGGTCGAGATCAAGAAAAAGGCATGTTGCATATAAACCAAGATCACACTCCAAAAGTGAAAGTTAATAACCTAATTCTATAACCTTGACCTTAAACCTGGTTTTGCTGGATAATTTAATTAAAAAAAATTTAATTTCTCTGCTTATTTTAATGAGGTATAATTGATACATATTATATCAGTTTCAGGGGTACAGCATAATGATTCAGTATTTGTATGTAGTGCAAAATGATCAATACAGTAGGACTAATTGACATCCATCACCATACTTAGTTACAAAAATTTTTTTCTTGTGAGGAAAACTTTAAAGACCTACTGTCTTAGCCACTTCAAAATGTGCAATACAGTAGTATTATAGTCACGATGCTGTGTTTTATATTCCCATGATTTATTAATTTCACAACAGGAAATTTGTGTCTTTTGCCCCCCTTCACCCATATTCACGTCTCCTACCTCTGGCAACCACCAATCTGCTCCCTGTATCCATGACCTTGGTTTCTTTCTTTCTTTCTTTTATTTGAAGATTTTACATGAAAGTGTAATCATATTGTATTTATCTTTCTCTGACTTATTTCCTGTAGCATAATGAGCCCAAGGTTCATCCATGTTGTCACAAATGGCAAGATACTATTTTTTATGACTGAATACTATTCCATTATATATGTATACCACACCTACTTTATCCTTTTATCTGTCAGTGGGCACTTGTTTCCATGTCCTAGCTACCACAAATAATGCTGCAATGAACATGGCGGGTGCACATATCTCTTCAAGTTAGTGTTTTCCTTTTCTTCAAATAAATACCCAGAAGTGGAAATACTAGATCATATGGTAGTTCTATTTTTATTTTGGGGGGGAATCATCATACAGTTTTCCATAGTGGCTGCACTATAAGTACTTCCACCAGCAGCACACAGTCTCTTTTTTCACATCCTAACGTGTTATTTGTTGTTTTTTTGGTTATAGTCATTGTAACAGGTGTAAGGTGATCTCATTTCAGTTTTTTTTTTAATACACTGATATTACAGTACCATTGACTATATTCCCTATGCTTCACCTTTCATCTCTTTGACTTATTCTGTAACTAGAAGCCTGTACCTCTTACTACCTTTAATCCATTTTGCCTATTCCCCCCAAACCATCTCCCCTCTGTTAATCATCAGTTTGTTCTGTGTTTATGGATATTTTCCTGCTTTTGTTTTGTTTTTTAGATTAAATATGTAAGTGAAATTTGTCTCTGACTTATTTCACTCTAGACCCATCTGTGTTGTCACAAATGGCAAAATTTCATCCTTTTTTATAGTTGAGTAATGGTCTATTGTATACATACAAACCATATCTTCTTTATTCATCCATCTCTTGATGGACACGTAGGTTGCTTCTATATTTTGGCTATTTTAAATAAGGGTGCAATAAACAGGAGTGCATATATCTTTCTGAATGAATGTCTTCATTTTCTTCTGATAAAAGAGTAGAGACATCGTAGGATCATATTTTTATGTTTTTCTTGAGGAACCTCCAAATTGTTTACTACAATGGCTATACTAATTTACATTCCTACCAACAGTGCAAAGCGCTCCTTTTTCTCCACATTCTTGCCAATACTTGTTATTTATTTTTTATTCGAGCCATTATTAGAGGTGTAAGGTGATATTTCATTGTGGTTTTGATTGCATTTCCTTGATGACTAGTGATATTAAGCATCTTTTCATGTCTGTTGGCCAGCTGTATGTTTTCTTTGGAAAAAAAAATGTCTGTTCAGGTCCTCTGCCCATTATTTAATATTATTATTTGTGTGTTTTTTTGGTGTTGAGTTGTATAAGTTCTTTATATATTTTGATATTAACCCCTCATCAGATATCTCATTTGCAAATATCTTCTCCCATTCAGTATGCTACCTTTTTATTTTGTTGATGGTTTCCTTTGCTGTGCAGAAGCTTTTTATTTTGGTGTAGTCCTAATAGTTCATTTTTGCTTTTGTTTCCTTTGCCTGAGGAGATATACCTAGAGAAATACTGCTAAGGTTTTATCAAAAATACTACTGCCTATGTTTTCTTGTAAGAGTTTTATGGTTTCAGGTCTCACAGTTAGGTCTTTATTTTGAGTTTATTTTTGTGTATGGTGTAAGAAAGCAGCCCAGTTTCATTCTTTCGGATGCAGCAGTTTAGTTCTCCAAGCACCATTTATTATTATTTAAAAAGATATTTAAGTAATCTCTATACACAAAGTGGGTATCAAACTCATGACCCCTAGATCAAGAGTCACACAGTCTTATGACTGAGCCAGCCAGGAGCTCCATCCCAGCACCATTTATTAAAAGGATTTTTTTTCCTCAATGTATACTCTTGTCTCTTTTGTCATAGATTAAGTAACCACATAAGCATGAGTTTATTTCTGGATTGTTTTCTCTTCCATTGATCTATGTGTCTATTTTAATGCCAATATCATACTGTTATAACTACTACAGCTTTGTAGTACATCTGGTGACCTGGGATTGTGATACCTCTAGATTTGTGCTTCTTTCTCAATATTGGTGTCATACAAATTTAAGATTATTTGTTCTAGTTCTTTGAGAAATACTATTGGTATTTTGATAGGGATTGCATTGAATCTGTAGGTTGCTTTTGCTAGTATAGTCATTTTAACAATACTACTTCTTCTAATCCATGAGCATGGTATGTCTTTCCATTTGCTTTTGTCCTCTTCAATTTCTTCCATCAACATTTTACAGTTTCCAGAATACAGGTCTTTCACCTTCTTGGTTAAGTTTATTCCTAGGTATTTTATTCTTTTAGTGCAGCTATAATTGGAATTGTTTTTTTAAATTCTCTTTCTGCTAGTTGTTAGTGTATAGAAATGCAACAGATTTCTATATGTTAATTTATATCCTGCAATTTTACTAAATTTATTTATTCTAATGGTTTCTGGTACAGGCTGTTGGGTTTTCTTCTTAGAGTAACCTGTCATCTGTAAATAGTGATAGTTTTACTTCTTCCTTACCAACGTGGACACGCTTTTGTCTTTTACTTTGTCTCATTGCTATGGCTACGACTTCTAGTACTATGTTGGATAAAAGTGAAAATGGACATTCTTGTCTTATTCTTTATCTTAGAGGAAAAGCTCTCAGTTTTTCACCATTGAATATGATGTTAGTTGTGGATTTTTCATATAGGGCATTTACTATATTGAGGTATGTTCCCTCTAAACCCACCTTATTTTTATCACAAATGGATGTTGAATTTGGTCAGATGCATTCTGTGCATCTAACTGAAATGATCATATGATTCTTACCCTTTATTTTGTTAATGTGGTGTATCACTTTGATTTGTGAATACTGAACCATCCTTGCACTTAATAAATCCTACTTGATGGTGGTAGATGATCCTTTTGATGTAATGTTGAATGTGGTTTGCTAATATTTTGTTGAGGGTTTTTGCATCTTTGTTCATCAGGGATATTGGCCTGTAGTTTTCTTTTTTTGTACTGCTTTGGTATGGTTTTGGTATGAAGGTAAGGCTGGCCTTACAGGATGTGTTTGGAAGCTTTCTCTCCTCTTCTATTTCATGTAGTTTGTGGAGGATAAGTATTAACTCTTCTTTAAATGTTTAATAAATTCACCCATGAATCCATCTGGTTCTGG